ATGTGTGTGTGTGTGTGTGTGTGTGTGTCTCTCTGTGTGTATGTGTGTGTGTTTGTATTGGTGTATGTATGTGAGTATATTTATTTTTTATAAAAACGATGTATTACTGTTACATTACTATACACATTTCTTTACTCATACATTCTCTTTTATGTAATTCAAAACAGTCTGTGTACTTGACCTGCACTTAGTACGTGAGCACTTGCTGTACGCCAACAGATTTAATAAAGCCGAGGCTTTTGTCCAATCAAACGCACCCGCCAACTTGAGCGAGCAGAGGTCGAAATCGATGCTAAAGTAGGGCTGGGCAATGAGTCGCTTTAGCAAAATCCGGATAATATGCTAGTGCACCTCTTTAGCCATTAAATGTGTTATGAAACGCTTCGGCAAATGGGTTAGAACAACTTCAACAACAGGGTACACCCACTTCGGAAAACGGGTCAGGAACGAGAGTATAAGAGTCTGAATTCGGATAATGTTACATTGAGAATTATCCGGTTATCCGGAGTTTACCCACCACTATGTTAAAGCCACTTTAAAAGCCTATGGTCAGTTCCCAAGACCGCATTGATCGAAACCAAAGCTTCAGTCCGTCACAGTGTGAAAGAGCTTTTGACCTGTGTGAAAAGGCCCCTTACGAAGGTGCGTCTGAAGCTCTTTGAGCGCGTTCATTGATCTTCGATCGCAATGGTTGATTTCCGGGTCGCACGTATGATTTTAATATGTTTCATAACAGACTCCAGAAATAAAAAAGATAAAAGAAAATCGGGGCTCTCAGATCGCCTCTACATTTTGCAGAAGTACAATGTAGTAATGACATGGAGGCGAGCTGTACACGCGGAAATGGAAAAGGCGGGGACGTCATGGAAACAGCTAGAAAAGGATGCACAGGACAGGCTTCTAGTTGAAGAAATGTTGTTGATGGCCTATGCTCCACTGGAGGTTAAAAAAGGGCAAGAGAGAGAGAGAGAGAGAGAGAGAGAGAGGCAGAAAGAGAGAGAGAGAGGGGGGGAGAGAGAGAGAGAGAGAGAGAGAGAGAGAGAGAGAGAGAAAAAACGTTTGACAAAAAGTGAAAGATGCATACTATGAAAGGAGAGAACATTGAACAGTTAATTCGCCATCGACTGGATATCCATGACAGAATGACCTAACATCTACCCCTTAACCCCACCCATACTGCTGTTGCAATGCCTTTTCCGATATGAGATGATTGGCTTAGTCCGATAGACTGTTACTTAACCGTACGTTTGAACAGTCTTGAACTCCCGGGTCGTCTTTGCTACGTCATAACAGCTGCGCGGGAAATGTCGGCTAATCCCAGACACGCCTCGCAGTTCCCCTGACTAACCTGGACTGGCCTTCGAGCTTAAGGGCGCGCAAAGACGGGGCTCTATTACAAAAATGTTGGTGCTAATCGGCAGGATAAAAAATTGGAGCATTTACAATCGCTTTAACGCCTGATCACGCAACCGAACGCGCAAGCCAGGTGAACCGGAAGCGGTGCCAGGCGTTTTGGGGCATGCAAGGCGACATAAAGTGACTTAACGCTTAATAGAATTCAGCGCGTCAGTTCAGCTGGCTAACAGTATCGCTCGGTTGTTTAGATATACAGTCGTGACAAAAATCTACCAAACTTCAGCCAGTCCTTGCTGTCTGTCTGTGATCAAATTGCATATTGTTTATTGTTGGAGTTATTCATTTCTATTCAGTTTGGTGTTTATTTCATGAAAATAGGTTAACATGAGCGGGGTTATAGGGAAGTCTGTTATGCTGAAATTTGTACGACAAAATTGGACGCGAACCAGGGAGAAATGACCTTCAGTACACAAAGAGTTAAGCTACATCGTGACAATGAAGCTGTTGGCGCTGTGTACTGTTATGGAGCTGTCGTTAGCCAAGGTGGACAGGGTTTAGAGACGGGCATGGGTGGGTGATTTGCTGTGTAATTGTAATTCAAACAATGGGTACTCTTTGTGAGGTAGCGTATGAGAATTTCTCAACTTGTTATAACTATGACATGGTTTGAGAACTAGTGTTCCAGCGTTTAATGTCATTACTGGTACAAATACGACATAGCATGTCAATGTGATCTTTAGGGATTTTCTGGGTGTGTTTAACGTTTTCTTTGGGGTTTACATTTTTTTCCAGGGAACGTTCTGCAATGTTAATCCCATGCCCTCTTCCAGTGGTCACTCTCTTTCATTTATATCACCTGACCTATGAATTTTTTCCCACGATAGTCCCGTGCCACTGTGGGGTTTGCAACCTGGGTGACAGGAAACACTCACTTCTCAACTTCTTTTTATTGACCCCCCCCCCATAAAAATAAACCAAAGCAACAACAACAGCAACAGCAGCAGAAGCAACAACAACAACAACAACAACAACTACAACTACAACAAAACGAGACGCGGTCGACATAAATCAACACAAAAATTAGGAGTGTCTTTTATCGCAAGACTTCATTGTCAGTTGGAATGTTTCGGAACTTAAAATACATGTACATGTATTTGTACTAACAATGAATCTGGATTACGGATAATTTCACTTTGGATGAGGGGAGGGGGGTTGACGGGTGCTCTGGTGTGGTTTG